TTGCACCTGTACCTCGTCAACTGCTGCGAGGGTTGGCGGCGGAAAGCGGTCAGCTCCGGAGGAGTCAGAGGGGCCGGCTTCTGGCTCTGGCAATGCTGGCAGCTTTGACTGTGCTGCCAACTCAGACGGGTGCGTGGCGCTGTTGCCATCGCCCATGACATCACATAGGTCAGAAGTCACTTGACTACACTCTGCTCTCAAAAAAGATGTGGGCGGACCGTGTGCCATTCCCAGAAATAGTTTCACAGAACTTATTGGGAAATACCAGTAAGCCTCTACTTCCTTGAAAGCCCCAAGCCTCTGCCCTGTGGAAATCCTGTCGTCTCCCAGTCTCGAAATGGGCTGGCCTCAAAGGATCCTCCGGCTATGGAACACGGCCCACATGGTTCGTTCTAGCTCAGTGGAACCATTTGAATGGGGCTGTTGCCATCACCCATGACATCACATAGGTCAGAGGTGACTTGACTACATTTAACACAGAGACACAACACGGACTCTGCTCTCAAAAAAGATGTGGGCGGACCGTGTGCCATTCCCAGAAATAGTTTCACAGAACTTATTGGGAAATACCAGTAAGCCTCTACTTCCTTGAAAGCCCCAAGCCTCTGCCCTGTGGAAATCCTGTCGTCTCCCAGTCTCGAAATGGGCTGGCCTCAAAGGATCCTCCGGCTATGGAGCACGGCCCACATGGTTCGTTCTAGCTCAGTGGAACCATTTGAATGGGATTTGCTTGGCCTTTGGAGCAACAGAAAAGAGCCCCCAAATAAATAATTTTCAACTTGTTCAATATTGTAAGAATTGGGACAGGAAAGTGAAATTGTAACTGGTGATGAAGAGAAAGCAGAACTGCTCAGTTCCTACTTTTCCTCAGTCTTTTCTTGTGATGGAAAAGGTGCTCAACATGGCAAAAACAGGACACATGATGAGGGAAGGGAGTTGCAGCCAGGATCAGCATAGAAGTAGAAGAGAGAAGAAGAGATTGGATTTATACCCCGCCCTTCACTTGGAGTCTCAGAGTGGCTTACAAACTCCTTTTCCTTCCCCTCCCCACAACAGACACCCTGTGAGGTGGGTGGGGCTGAGAGAGCTCTGACAGAAATGGCTCTTTTTCAAGGACAGCTGTGCCAGAGCTTGTGACTGACCCAAGGTCACATCAGCAAGTGCAAGTGGAGGAGTGGGGAATCAAACCCGGTTCTCCCAGATTAGAGTCCGCACACTTAACCACTACACCAAACTGACTCTCATAGGGGTAGTACATAAACCCCTAGTTTCTTTAAATGAAACTAAGTCCTTGGGGCCAAATGAACTGCATCCAAGGGTACTAAAAGAACTTGTGGGTGTAATTTCTGAGCCTCTGTCCATTATTTTTGAGAATTCTTGCAGAACAGGTGAGATGTCAGAAGATTGGAGGTGGGCAAATGTTGTCCCCATCTTCAAGAAGGGGGAAAAGGAGGATCAGGATAACTACTGACCCGTCAGCTCGATGTCTATACCTGGGAAAGTTTTAGAACAAATAATCAGACAGTCCTTGAGCATTTTGAAAGGATGGCTGTGATTACTAAGAGCCAGCGTGGGTTTTCTCAAGAATAAGTCATGTCAGACTAACCTTATCTCTTCTTTTTGAGAAAGTTACTACCTTGCTGGATCAGGGGAATGCTGTAGACATAGTTTATCTTGATTTCAGTAAGGCTTTTTGATAAGGTTCCATATAATATTCTTGTTGACAAATTGGTAAAATGTGGTTTGGATCCTCTGATTCTAAGGTGGATCTGTAACTGGTTGACAGATCTCACCCAAAGAGTGTTTGTGAATGGTTCCTCATCCTCTTGGAGAGAAGTGACAAGTGGAGTGCCTCAAGGATCTGTCCTGGGACCTGTTTTGTTCAACAATTTTATCAGTGATTTGGATGAAGGAATAGGGAGAATGCTTATTACATTTGCAGATGATACTAAATTGGGAGGGGTAGCAAATACGGTAGAAGACAGAGGCAGGATACAGGATTATCTTGACAGGCTGGAAAATGGGCTAAAACAAATAAGATGAATTGCAATGGGGATAAATGTAAAGTTCTGCATTTAGGTAGGAAAAACCAAATGCATAATTATAGGTTGGGGGAGGCTTGTCTTGGCAGTACTATGTGGGGACTTAGTAGACCATACACTGAACATTGAGTCAGCAGTGTGACGCGGTAGCTAAAAAGGCAAATGCAGTTTTGGGCTGTATCAACAGAAATACAATGTCCAGATCACGCAACAGAAATTCAATGTCCAGATCACGCAAAGAACCACTTTGTTCTGGTTAGACCTCACCTAGAGTGTTGTGTTCAGTTTTGGGCACCACAATTTAAGAAGGATATAGACAAGCTGGAACATGTCCAGAGGAGGGCAACCAAGATGGTGAGGGGTCTGGAGACCAAGTCCTAGGAGGAAAGGCTGAAGGAGCTGGGTATGTTTAGCCTGGAGAGGAGATGACTGAGAGGTGATATGAGAACCATCTTCAAGTACTTCAAGGGTACTAGAGGATGGTACAGAGTTGTTTTCTGTTGCCCCTGAAGGTTGGACCAGAACCAACGGGTTGAAATGAAATCAGAAGAGTTTTCAGCTAAACATTAGAAAGAACTTCCTGAAAGTTAGAGCAGTTCCTCAGTAGAACAGGCTTCCTCGGGAGGTGGTGGGCTCTCCTCCTTTGGAGGTTTTCAAACAGAGCCTCGAAGGCCATCTGACAGCAATGCAGATTGTGTGAATTTAGGCAAATCATGAGGGGGAGGGCAGGAAGGGTTGCCTCAGCGCTTAGTTCTCGTGGCCCTTTCTTACACGCCCAGGGAGGTGCTGTTACCACTTTGGGGTCAGGAAGCAATTTTTCTCCAGGCAGGTTTGGCCAGGGTTCCTGGAGGGTTTTTTTGCCATCTTCTGGGCATGGGTCACTAGGGGTGTGGAAGGGATGTATTGGGGAATTTCCTGCATTGTGCAGAGGTCCCTTCCAACTCTGTGATTCTATATCTGAGGAAGTGTTCAGAAATATTCTCCCACTCTCCTGGCTTTCCACAAACTATGAATGATTTGAGAGGGCTTTTCTACGCAGGCAGGTTGCACTGTACTAAATGTTTCACAAAGTTGCTTGTATAAACTATTGGGGACTGTGGTCTACACGACTACATATTGCTTGTTATAAGTAGAATCTTACTATGTCATTTCGCATCATTTAATACAGCGGTTCTCAACCTGTGGGTCGCGACCCCTTTGGGGTCAAACGACCCTTTCACAGGGGTCGCCTAAGACCATTGGAAAACAGTAGCAAAATTACAGTTATGAAGTAGCAACGAAAATAATTTTATGGTTGGGGGTCACCACAACATGAGGAACTGTATTAAAGGGTCGCGGCATTAGGAAGCATGAGAACCACTGATTTAATATGTCACGTTAATACTTATGCTTTGCTTCAGTTCTGTGTTTGCACCCCTGTTTGGTTCTGCAACCCTAATCCTGTTGCATTGCTCATTGAACACCCCGTCCTGTTGATTGTATTCACTCTTTGTGTTGTTATCCGCCTTGAGTCCAAGTGAGAAAGGCGAAATATAAATAACGTAAATTCAATAAATAAAAACAACCACCTTTGTTTTGTCATTTTGTTGTTGTTCAGTCGCACAGTCGAGTCCGACTTTTCGCGACCCCATGGACCAGATCACGCCAGGCCTTCCTGTCTTCTGCCGTCCTCTGACGTTTGCTCAGTTTCATGTTTGTTGCATCTATGACACTGTCTAACCATCTCATCCTTTGCCGTCCTCATCTTCTTTGACCTTCAATCTTTCCCAGCATCAGGGTCTTCTCCAGTGAGTGCTCCCTTCTCATTGGGTGGCCAAAGTATTTGAGCTTCAGTTTCATTATCTGGCCTTCCAGGGCACAGTCAGGGTTGATTTCTTTTAGGATTGACTGATTTGATCTTCTTGCAGTCCAAGGGACTCTCAAGAGTCTTCTCCAGCACCATAGTTCAAAAGAATCTATTCTTCGGCACTCGGCCTTCCTTATAGTCCAACTCTCGCAGCCATACATGACTACTGGGAATACCATTGCTTTGACCATGCGGACTTTTGTTGGCAGGGTGCTGTCTCTACTTTTTAGCATGCTGTTTAGGTTCGCCATCGCTTTCCTCCCAAGGAGCAGGCGTCTTTTAATTTCATGGCTGCTGTCACAGTCTGCGGTGATCTGGGATCCCAGGAACGTGAAGTCTGTCACTACTTCCACGAAGATGCCTTGTTCTAATGTTTATTGCCCTTAAAGGGGTGTGTACATCACTGTCACAAGGGAAGAACTAAAACACAGCTAAAGTCTGATAATTTAAAAAAAAAAAATAATTTTTTAAAATTAATTTTAAAAATGATGTTTTTAAAAATGGGGGGAGCCCTACCGATCAATATGCTCTGGGCTTTAAATTGACTGCCGTGGTCACACACACCCCCAGGTGGCCTGCCCTTGTTGGATGGTTTATCTGCTGATGGGGGCCACACTTTGTGCTCAGGGATAACCCACCCAGCCCCTTCCCCTCACTGGTCCCAGCAGCCGCTTCTCCTTAGATATGCAATGGGGGGGGAGTTGTGGGGGGTAGAAGGAAGAGCAGACGAGCAAACCCAGGTCGAATTTCTCTGGGTGAACACTCCACTCCTTCCACTCTGCATATGACTGAGTCTGAGTCTATTGGCACCTTTAAGGCCATCAAAGTTTTATTCAGGGTGTACATGCGTGCTTTTTCAGATATAATGAAATACAGGTGGAGGGTGAGCAGTAAGTTAGCATACAGCAAATGAAGATGTTGGACAGATTCAAGGACCAAACAGGAATAACAGGGGATGCGAGGAAGTCCCCTGCGCCTTCTATGCACGTGAGCCCTTGGGAAGGACCCCTGGGGAGGCTGCCCCCCCCACTTGAGAGGACCGGTGGGGGAGGGGGACAGGCTCCTCCATAAAGGATCTTGCTGACCTCCTCCTCTCCCTTTCCCCGTGGCAGGTGGTGGACGCCATGAAGCGGATGCAGGAGAAGAAGAACATTGGGAAGGTGGTGTTGGTTCCTGAAGCGCCGCAGAAGGACGAGAGCCAGAAAGCGGAGAACTAGAGTGGAGGGGACTCTGGGGAGGGGGTGTCCTCGGCCCACCTCCATGTTGTTTTTGTTTTAGCCCACCCCCCCAACAACAACAACCCTTTGAGGGAAGTGGGAATGGACACTGCTGTCAATGGGATAAGTGATGCAGGATGGGGTCAGCTGGTAGCCTTAAAAAATAACCCACGCTTTTGAGTTTCCACGCACCTCTCCGTTGCGGTGACACTCAGAAGACTGCATTGTTTTCATAAAGTGCTGGTTGGCCCTGGAGAATCCCCCTCTCCCCTGCATCTCCCCTTCTGTAATTTCAGTTCTTTTGCGCAGTTGAGGAGCAACAGGACACCCGTTGAGGGGGGTGGCGCTGGGGAGAGTCGGGTAAAACGCCCCCTTGTTTCTGGATGGTTTTCTTTTCCCCGTGGCTTGCTTTCACACACTCACTGTTTACATTTCCACCCTCGGGCATCCTCTCCCCCCCTTCCTCCCCCCACACGCTCCCTTGGCAACTAATGGCTTCGCAGCACCTCCCGACTCCCGTTGTCCCAGCCACCGTTGACTGTTTCCATAGAAACCAAACCTGCCACTTCTGAGGGGCACTTGTAACGTGCAGAACCTGCCGGAGGCTTGCAGTTCAGCTTTGCGAACAGGGAGCCGGGCGGGGTGTGTGGGGGGGGGGTCTTTGCTGCCTCCGGGCCCACCGTTGAGTCAGGGGCATCCCTCGCCTGCCCTCTCCAGCCTGAAAGTGCCCACAGGGCTCAACGCAGCCTCCACCCACCCACGGGGCCCTTTTAGAATGCCTTTAGAATCCCCCTGGCTTTCAGCCCCTGCTGTGGGCACCCCGCCCCCTCGCCAGCCGTTCCTGTCTGAACGGGCAGGGCCCAAGAGCCAGGTGGGGTGGGGTGGGGGTTGGCCGCCTGGTCATCTCAAAGCTGGGCAGCAGCCGCCATAGGTGGCCGTCTCTCTTGGCGTGCCTCGTGGCTCCTGGTGTGACTCAGGTCTGGGGGTGGAAGAAGGAGGCGAGGGCCCCAACGCCCTCCATCTGTTCTGCCCCTCCTCTGAACCCAGCTGGCTGGCAGGGGTGGCTAACCCACGCCCTCCTGCCACCCTGAGTGCGGGTTTTCTCTTGGGCTGCGTCTTGGTTCCCACGGGGTGTGTGTGCGGGCCGTGTGTTGTGTTTGGGACCCTCTGAGGACCAGCCAGCCATTGCCCTTGGGTCTGCGTTGCTGCTGGGGGGACGTTAGCGATTCTCGTGCAGGAGGCATCTCACCCCACCCCACCCCACCCCCTGGGCACACAGGAGGCCTCTCCTGCTTGCCGTGGGAACCAGAGGGTGCTTGTGTGCCAAAAGGCTCCTCTGCCAAGGCAGCAGCTCTGCGGCACCCCTTTCTGCCCCAGCCGTTGCTTCTCTTGGCCCCGAGCCGTTCCTTGAAAACCCGGACCTTTCCCCCATTCCGGTAAATCTCGGGAGCCTTTCCAGGTCTCCAGCCCCAGGATTTCTCCTTGCCTTTATGTTTTTCCCCACATGGCAGAGGCAGTGCCAAGCCTTTTCCTGGGAAGCGGGCAACGGGGGTGTGTGGGGAATCTGGTGCGTTTCTGGCACTCCCCCCTCCCCTCCAGAAGCCCCCCGAAGGCTCCCTTGAGCAACCTGGAAGCAGAGGCTGTCTTTGGGCTGCTACGTTTGGCCTCTGAACCCTCAGCTGCCAGGCGTTCTTTGAAGGGAGGCTCCGTGAGATCTCCTCGCCCGCTTTCTGCGGCACCCTTGCTCGCCCCGTGGTGCCCTGTGCGGTTCTGGCACCCGTCCTCGGCCATCTTGCGCTTATTTTCTCCAGTTGTCTTACAGAGGCTCTGAGAGGGGTGGGGCGGCTTGGTGAGCACGCTCCTGGTCTTTGGGTGTGCTTCAAATCCTGCTGTGGCCGATGCATTTTTGAAGCATCCTCTGGACTCCTCTCATAGGCAGCAAATGAGTCTCGTAGCAGCTCCGGGGGGGGGGGGGGTTCGGGGTTTGGTCCTGGCAGCTCTTCCGTCTTTACAAGACCCTCGGGGCAGGGTGTGGTTGAGTAATTCCTAGCAAAGCCTTTGTGGAAAGCACAGTTCTTCTTGCATTTCCCTGGGAGTTCCCTCTCATTCCCTGTAGCTGGTGCTGCAGCGCTTGGGGAGCTGCCCATTTCCCCCTGGTGCAGTTGGGCTTGCCTTGTGCAGGTAGGTGCCCGCAGCATTCTTGAACCTGCCTTGTAGTATTCTGCATAATTTTATACTCGTTCAGAGACTCCTATAGCTGGCTGGAGGGCCACCCACCCTCAGAACCCACCGCTCTCTGGCATACGGAAGGCCCCAAATGCAAACGGTTATCTTTGCGGAAGAGCTCTTGCCTTGCAGGGCTTGGCTTGGGAAAGACTGCTAGGATCGGACGCTAGCTGGGCAGATGGTCTGCCTCGGCCTCCTGAGGTCGGGATGGCTGGCTTGCTGCAGAGCAGTCTACCCAGACCGCAAACGGGCCAGTGAGAAAAAGATCCTCTTGGAACAAGCCGCCCCCCGTGACTCCCCTCTGCCCCCTGAGGCTGTGGTCCTGCGCACCTCGCACTCTTCTCCTTCTCGTCTCCTCAAGCTCAGCTCTTCTCCCCTGGCCCACACATTCGCCTCCTGCTCTCTTCTCTTTCCAGCTGTTCTGAGGAGCACTGGGTTCTCAAGGCCCCAAATGGTAGCTTCGTCTCTCCAAGGCAGTGCCCTTGCGTTTGATGGACCCTGCCCTGGTTGGTCCAAGAAGTTGGGAATTTCCCCAGATCTGCCTTGCCGTAATCTGCAGTACCCACTGTCAGATGCACATGCGCCAGAGGACATCCCTCTTCTCTGACAGTAGGATGTGCACCACGGGGGAGATCTGCCTGGACATGCCGTGCTTTGGCCTCTGGGCAGTTGCCTAATGCCTTATTCTGGATGGAGGTCCAGAACCTTCTGCAGCCTGGTCCATCCATCTTTCTTTTCGATACTGCAAGGAGGAACCTTTGCCTTTGGGGGGGGAACTCCTGCTGTCTGCTGCGCCGCCCCCCAAGCAACCCCCTCTTCATTTTCCCAGTGCCTTCTTCCCAACAGAGAATTAGCTAGATCTAGTCCAGGAAGCCTTTGCCAAATCTGGCTTGTTTAAAAGATTGCCAAAAGAAACCAGGACCGTGTTGAAAGACGCCGTGGTCCCAGGTTGTGTCCCTCGCAAGTAGTGGGGAAGCCTGCACAATACGGCACTTCTTGCCACAAGCGTGTGGACCTTTGTACACGAATCTCTCAGGGAAGTTGATCCCTGCAGTTCAGCACAGCAAGAGCCCTTGCAGAGGAAGCTTTCTTGGGCGTCATGGCCAGATTTCCTTAATGCAGTCCAGCGTCTGCATCTCTAAGCCGGCGTGTGTTTAACTCCATGTGCCTCTTCTGAATTAAAGTGTCGTTCTTACCAGTGTTTGTGAAAGGGCCAGTTGTTGGGGCCGCCTGGGGTAGATCTTGCTGCGAAAGGCCCTGGTGGGCCACTGCTTGTGAGGCCTCTGGCCGCCCAGGCCGAGCCACGCGGAGCCCCATCCTCCGCCGCTGGATCAAGCGAAGCATTGCCCCATCCTGAGTGCGACCCACTGAACTGGGGGCAAAGGTGTGGCGACTTCCCTTTCGCCTCTGGGCAAAGGCACACCAAACGCCATTGTTACTCATGAGGAATGTCCCATTTCGTACCCTCCGTTTTCCTTGGTCACATCATAAGGGGTTGAATTGCTTTTCCCAAATACTAAAGGATTTTTTTCCCCTTTCTGCTGGAGGTTTAAAACAGACATGGTGCTTCTCAATAGCTTGTGGAGGTTTTTTTAATAGAGAGAGCAGATTCAAAGCACTATAGCTTTGCTCTTTCTTGCCTCATGAACTAACACTTCTTGCCTGGAATTAGCTAGTCGTCTCTCTGTTCAGTTATTTGACTTGCAGTCTTCGGTGCCTGGCCACTAGGCCTTAAAAACAGTGCCCTGTGGGAAGAGAGGCCACTTCCCCCCCAGAGGCCAGGGGTACAGAGTGCTCCGCCCCCCTGAGCTCTCGGAGGCACCGGCTGTGGCCCAGGAGACAGGCCAGTGGTGTCTCCTCAGGTGCTCTGAAATGGCCCGGCCCAGTTCCCAGCTGCAGCAGTCTTGATCCGGCACAGCCAGCGGCTGTTGCCACCCCTTTTGAGGCCCTGCTCACACCGCCTGGAAGGGTCTGGGGAAGTGTGCCTTTAACTGACTTTCTACCATGTCCCCAAATTGGACCTCCTTTGCAAAAGTGGAAACTCATTTGAGAATCTCCTCCTAGCCCTAGTCTCCTTTTGAGAATTCAAATTTATATTCTTCTGATGCATACAAAAAAGTTGTACTGTTTTTAATTTAGAAGCACAGCTGGACTGGGGAGATCTGGGCATAAACATACTGAGTTTGTCTTGTTGATAAGTAGTGTTATTCCCAAACAGACCAACCAAGGGGAACGATTCAAAATGATGGGTTCAGATTCGAAAATGCCGTTGAATGTGGATTTTGGTTTGATTTTCATCCAGCCTTTCTGACTGGGTTCCAATACAAATCGCAAGAAAAGGAAGGAGCTTTTTAGGGAATGTTTGCTCCTTGCCATCAACTTGCTGTTGGCTTTAAAAATAGAAATCCCAAACCCTACAGCTCATTCTGGATTGTGCTGGGTTTGGCTTAGATAACAGGAAGGTATATTATGCAACGATCACCGGGAGGGATGGTGGAGGGCAGAGTGCCAAAGGGGATGGAGGGAGAATGCCCTACCTGTGTCCAGGTGAGATGTCTTGTCTGCATGTTATGTTTTGTAATGGTGTCATGGTGTACACTTGAATGAGCTGTGGTGAATGTCCAGACAGAAGTGGGTCTACAAAGGTCTTGCCGTTAGGTGTGGGGTTGCTCTTATCGCCAAAGGGAAGCCCTCAGTCGAGTGCTGGCCAAGGACTGCCGGGGTCCCTCCCACGCCGGGGTCCCTCCTAGTGATTCACACGAGCAGCTTCTGCAGGAGCCCAGCCCACACCAGTTCCTTGTTTGAAAAGAAGCCAGTGCCGTCCTGCTTGTTGTATGCAAGGTGTCTTATCGAAAACCAGAACGCTCATGTGCCAAGCCTGTTTACACGAATCCAGGCGTGAAAAAAAACCGCTCGTCTGCCTAATGTTACCCTATGCCTTATGTGTGTTTTGGGTGTTGATTAAAAGCATAACAAAAATAATAGAAGCAGTCCCGATCTTTTTGTTCATCCACACAAAGCTTGCTGGTGGCTTTTGGGCTCTGCACATGCCAGCCGATGTTGACCACCGTCTTACGTAGCCATGGAATGACCCTGGTTAGTTACACTGGGGTGATTCTTCAGCATTTTAGCATTACAAGTCCTAAGCATTCCATCAATTATACAAGCATGCTACATTTCTTACCAGTGTTTCTTTAAAAACATTTTAGTCACAAGATGATGATACTACTGGGGGGGGGGGGTTCCTTTCAGTTCTTGTAAAGATCTACTCCAGTAAAATAAATGGAATCCATTTTTCTCCCTTTGATGGCGCAGAAAGAAGCAACTTCTGAAATGAATCTTGACTTTTCAAGTTCCACCATCTCCAGAAGCTTAAGACTTTTGTGATTTTGAGCTCTTGTGCTCAACGGATGGTGTGATTACCCACTGGCCCTTTACTGCTCATTGACAGCAAGACCAAATGGGCATGGTGTATCTACCAAATTCAGTCTTTGAGCATCCAAAATAAAAAGAGTACAAACAGTGTGTTCAAGCATAAGGTTGAGCCAAAGATACAAAGAAAAAGTGAAACCGTGCAGCCCTCTCCCCCTAAACTGTATACTTATTCTACTGTTGTTACTTCCATAAGCTAGTGAAACATGAAGTTACTGGCTTTAAAAGTTCTTCTTTATCTTAGTTCTTGGAGCTGGGACTTCTCCCATTGCCCCTCTCTATATGGCCAAGATGGAGTGCCTCAGTAAAGGTTTAGCCATTTGTAGCTTGACTCTTCCTGGCCAAAAGCTGAAAGATAAGAACGCATCCTCTTCCTGGACACTGAATTTATCATGTCCCCTTTGAGAGTACATCAGTCTCTGGAGTTGTTTTAGTCTGCCTGCCTCAAAAGAACAAAATTATGATCTAGCCATTTGGCTGTCCAACGTCGCTTTCCTTTCAGGCGTGCACATTCTAGTATGGTATTAAGAGGGTAAACCTTTTGTTTTACTCAGGCCAGAACCATTTGCGTTTATAAGCAATGAAATGTTCTGTGCTTGGGGCAGCCTGCAGCCAGGTTCTCATACACAGAGCATCTCCAATGCTTGAATTAGTGGGGTGAATTCCAGGGCGGAGGGGATTTCTCTATGCCCTAGAAAAAGCAGGCGGTGCAGGGGATCCCACCTCCCAGTAAAGTGTTATTTCCCCTTGCCTCACAGGCCCGAGGAGGTGGTACAAAGGAACATCCCAGGAAGGAGGGGGGGGCGGCTAGAAGGCTTACCTCCCTTCTCCCCTTGCCTCACAGTCCTGAGGAGGTGGTACAAAGGAACGTCCCAGGAAGGACGGGGGGCGGGGGGGCGGCTAGAAGGCTTACCTCCCTTCCCCAGTTTCTCCAGTCCCAGCTCTGACTCCAGTGGCTTCAGTCCCAGCTCTGACTCCAGTGGCTCCAGAGCCTCGGGGGAGGGCGGGATAGAAATGTGAATAATAAATAAATAAATTGCTGTGGACCCACAAATGGCATACATGCTTTGCCTGCCTGCAGACAAATGGGAAACTCACACCTCGCTGGGGAGGAAAGAGATTATCTATATTATCTATTTAGATTTATAGTCTATTCTCCCCGAGAATGGGCTCAGAGCAGATCACATCATAAGTGGATTAAAAAATACGTTAATATATAGCAATATTTAAAACAAATAATACAATTTAAAAGCAACTAACAACTAATCAGCTGGAATGACTGGATCCAGGGATCTTCT